TTTGGTCACCCATCTATTACTGTATTTCTGTTTTGATCACTAAATTATTTTTATTTTTTAAAATCATATCTAATGTTAAATTTCATTTCTGTTTTGGTCACTCATTGTTAAGTTTGACCATTAACTTAACAAAAATGATGATGTGGCTACTATGTTAAAATTAAAATTTTAGAAATAGTCTTTAAATAATATGCAAATTCAAACATTTGAGGCGGATATAGATGGGATGATTACAAAGTCATACCCACGCTTGTTCCACCACTTGCGGTATATCTAATTTTTGTCCCCATCCACACCCCACCACTCATGAATCATTTCTTTTTTTCGCTCAATGGTGCAAATTGGGCGAGTCTACGCGAAACCCATACTCATCCCCACCTAAATGGGTCATCGGGTACGAAATGAGACGAGTCATAGTGAAATTAACATCATCGACCTCCATAATTCAAATTCTTGCGTTTTGAATAAAGTAAATTGAGTTGGAGATCACTTTTCATAATAAACTTCTATAATATATAATTTGAATTAATCTATTAACAAATTAGATGCACATAATTTAAAATATAATGACATTCTGATCCGGCTTGAGATGGAATGAACACATTTTGGAGACGAAAAAGAAATAATAAAAGTGCTTTGATTCGATATTCCTTGATCTCAATGTCTATAAAAACGAGGCCAATACTCGTATTACTTTTTGATGTTGAGCTGGTCTTGTCACCCTAAATAGATTCGTAACAAAATGACAATCCCTTGGGATCATGTGACACCACTTCCTCCGAATCAAAAGCAAAATGGGAACTAATTAAGAAATACTTCATCAACAAATGAATAGATAAAGGTGTGGAGTTTTGTAGATTGCTGAGTATATAATATGTGGAACCTTTTTTATACTCTCCGACATCCAAGCATAGTTCAATGTAGAATGTCCACTCAATTTAGAGCATGTTGTGCTTCGTAATAAGTAGTTGAATTTTCGGTTCGAAAACAATTTTTTTCAGGGATATGTACAGCTTAATGCTTTATTAAATATTACTCTTGGATGCCAACTAAGTGTATTACTTCAATAGTGTTTTCTTTTGTATATATATAATCATCGGTCCGATCTTATTAATTCAAACATATATTAGAGAGGCGAGGGCGAGTCTCTAATATCTAATTTACTCCATTTATAAAAGAAATCTAATACCTCATTCGATTGATCAATTAGTTGTTGGAATTTCAATAGCATTTTCTTGCGCAAATTATTGTCATTTTATTTTGAAACAACTTTTCAAGATTTAAAAGTGAATTGAAAATTAAGAAAAAGGATTTAATATTAAAAAATTGGCTTAAAGTAAAAATAAGTCCTTAAACTATGCCTTTTTAAGCCCCTAAATTATTTTATGGTCAAACTAAGTACTTAAACTATCATATTTAATTATTCTAAGTCCTATCATTTTTCATTTAGAAAAATATTTTTTTTCTTCTGCCAATACGATGTTGACATGTCAAACAAAATTAAGTACTTGTTTTGACCAAAAAATAGTTTAGGGGCTTGAAACAAAAAAGAGACATAATTTAGGGACTTATTTTGACCAAAAAATAGTTTAAGTACTTGAAATGGTTACATATAATAGTTTAAGTACTTATTTTGACCAAAAAATAGTTTTGGGGCTTAAAGTAAAAAAAGAGTATAGTTTAGGGAATATTTTAATTTAAGAATAAAATTTTAAACGTTGTTATTTATTCTAAGCCAGAAAGGGGTAAACTACATTTTCATCTGTCAACTTTCATTGTATTCTTGTTTTGATCAGTCAACTTTTAAATATTTTAATTTAATTATTTAATTTTCAAATTATTCATGTTTTAGTCATTATACAGTTAAATAATTAACCAGTTGTGACAAGACATCTATTTTTTAAAAATTATAAAAAGGAATGAGGTGAATATTGTAGATTGAAATTATTTTCCTTTGAGTTTTACATTAATATTAATGAATTTTATAAAAAATTAAACTAATAAAATTATAGCAGACGATGAAATGAGTTAACTGTGTCTTAAGATGTGAGAGAACGAAGATTTGACATCGACATGACAAAGGAATGAAACTCTAAAGTTACTCTAAAGTTTCACCTTTTGTGAGGGGGAGATGAAACGGGAAAAAGAAATGAGGTAAATAATACAGGACTTTCATGTTAATGTAAGACCGTCAACGTCTACATCACCTTGTTTAATCTAACATTTAAGTGACCAACATAGAAGCAATTTAAAAAAAACACAGTGATCGAATTCAAAAATTAAAGTTGAGACACATTATAAAATGAAGTGACGAAACATAGTTTGCCCAAAATTAAGAAAGAAAATATAATTCTCACACGGTTGAATTTATTAGATTATTCTCCTCCTAATGATTAAAATTTAGGTATATTATAAGTTAAAACATAAGAAGAAACCATTTTATTTAATCTAATTACATCCCATTATAATTGAAAAATAAAGATTGTCTTACCATACGAAGATTCGGTAATAAGTTCCAGTTATAACCATATTTTTTCCAACAATTAATGTCCTTTTAGGTAAGTTGAAGGCCTCAACTCAGGGACGTGACTAGGTTTTTGGGGGTCATGTACAAATTCTTATAAAGATGCCCTTATTTTTTAGATATTTTCGATTTTGGGGTAATAATAGTGGCATTTTTTGAAAAACGTCGCAATAGATCCATCTATAGTGGTGTTTTTTCAATAAAATTGCAAAAATAGTGACGTTTTTTTTTGAAAAACGTCACAATAGGTCCATCTATAGTGACGTTTATTAAAAAACGCCATTATAAATATATTTTTTTAAGATTCTTATTTTTTGTGGCCCTGCGCCGTCGCGCAGTTTACACCGACCAGCCACGACACTGCCTCCACTTGTACATTATTGGGTAAAGGAAATTAATATTTTAATAATCCCAATAAAAAACATGTCTTATTGTCCTCAAGGAAAAGTGATCTTAATTCATGGGTTAAGTGGCCAACAAGTACATAATGAATTTAGCTGCTGCCATGCACTTTATTTATTTCCTCCTAATTACAGCACTTATTAATCAATTCATAGTTTTTTTAATCTTAGCCATAGCCACAGCCATAGCCCACACTTTTACAATCATAAATGTTGAGATCCAATTTTAACATTCGTCGAGGTGAAATCATTTGTTTTGGAATATTAATATACGTGTATTATTGATTTGGAGAAATTCGATTTTTAATATTATATTCATGCACCTGCAATTCCATTATTAGTTTGAGTTTCAGGTGGATTTCATATACCAAAGTCAGAGGGACCACTGTTTCAACCCTATAGATTTGTGACTTTCCTACCATAAAAATAAAAATAAAAATAAAAACCAGTCTAATTATGTGCAAAGTCCCTATACCTTTTTGGATTTTTCAAATTCAATCTCTCTCTTTATAACTTTTTCCACCATCAATGCATAAAATAATTTTTAAAATTTACACTTATATAGTATTTTATCTTTTTGTTAAAAAAAATTGGATAGACTGACCCCAATAGCATTAAGAGCAATATAATCTTTTCTTCTTTCGTTTATGAAAATGACGCTGAATAATTAACAGGTATATGCTATTAATAAAATTATATAAAATATGTTTTATCCTAGCCGCTTTTTTGTTCATCTCCTCTTTTATCTTTTTTTATTCTTTATAATTTGTGTTAATTTTATTGATCAATTTATTTTTTTTAATTTTATTTAATCGACTGTGACTCCAATTTTAATGCTAGTTGACGCTTGTCGATTGTCTTTTTTCTTTTTAATTTTTTAATAAGAATAATTATGTCTTTGTGACACATTCTCTACATTTATGACATGTTTATCTGTCTTTGTGGCACGTTTTTTTTTTACCTTTTGTTAGCTTACGATTTTTTGTCGTTGTTCTCGTTTATCTTTATTCTCATGATTAGATTTGACGTCGTCACGATTGATCAAGATGGCGTTTATTTGTTATCATAATGATGTTCCTTGTTTGGACCATCGAATTGATTTGGATACTCGTTTTGCGTTCGTGGATAGTTTTCTCACGTTGCTTGACTCTGATTTGCGATTTGTCTGTGGTCTTTCAGTAGCTTCATCCCCTTTTATAGTTCGTTTGCCCAATCAGATTTGTTTGTATCTTTATTTTATTCGAGTTTTTTGTTAGATTTTTTAATATTTTCATTCTCTGGTCCTTATGTGATCTAGGTGGCTAGTTTTTATCTCAATGGTAATAAGAAAATGTCATAATTATAATTTAAGTCTGCGATTATACTTATAAATCTTCATTGTAATTTTTGAATATTTTATATTTTAATAAAACTAGCGACTTTCTATCAAAAAAAAATATTTTATCCTAATTATAATTTATTTTCACGTCATTTCATAAAAATGAAAATGTTATAAAATTTATTTTTTTTTCATGTAAACCATGTATTCTCTATTTATTCTTTTGATGATTTAAATAAAAAATTATTTTGTCTTTTTAATAATTCTATTTAGGAGAAGTGTAGGAAAATTTTTCCCTTAAAAGTATTGAACCATAATTTAGATGAGAGGGAGGTGTCAAGTGAATTTTTAATCGCTTACTCTAAATATTATTTAGGAAAATTAATTTAGTTAGAACAGAGTAAGATTATAAAAGCAATAAATTTATGGTTATCAACCTAGAAACATAAACCATGAAAACCAAGAAGATTAGAATGAAATAAGAACAATGATGGACCGAAAGTAGAAATGGAGTTTCATGTTTATGCCAGTTCTTTTGTCGTGTAAGAATACGAATGGGGAATCTCATTTGAGAGTGTATAAAACTCCAGAATGAAAGGTTTTTACTATAAAAAAAAACATGAATTGTGTAGCCCAATAAGGCGACCAAGTGCTATTAACAATTAATTATTAAATCATCCACCTCCTCTTCCTCTGGTGTTTATAACCCCCTTTTTGCTTTCTGCTGTTTTAGCTCAAATCAAACCCCTCCAATTTACCCACTAAAAATGGCAGGTTACGGTGGCCCTTGCGGTGCTTGCAAGTTCTTGAGAAGAAAATGCGTTCGAGGCTGTGTTTTCGCACCTTATTTCTGCCATGAACAAGGCGCTGCCCATTTTGCAGCTATCCACAAGGTTTTTGGTGCAAGCAATGTCTCGAAGCTGCTTGCTCATCTCCCTGTCAGTGATCGCTGTGAAGCGGCACTCACGATTTCCTATGAAGCTCAAGCGAGGCTTCAAGACCCCATTTATGGCTGTGTTTCTCATATCTTTGCTCTCCAACAGCAGGTTCTTTTCTTTTTCTTTCTTTGCCATCACCCTTTCTCCATGTTTGATGAATTGGAACCCTAATTTGAGTTTTAAAATATATAGATTGTCAATCTCCAGGCACAGCTTGCTTCTCTCGAGGATCAGGCAGCTCACAGCGTCTTCTTCAGTGGCAGCTCTGTTACTGCAAACCCCAATAACAAATACCACGGAAAGGTCCTTTCTCAGCTCCAAGAAGCTCAAAGCTGGTTTCACGCGGAAAATTCAAGCATGGCTCCAAATCTTAACCCAACAAACTCATACTGTGAGAATAATGGGGTTTTGGATCCAAATTTTGTAGCAAATTACAAGAATTCCGTCTCCTCGTCTGGAGAAGATCGTGTCTCATACACTACTTTTGGACAGGCATCTCATTCTATGTCTTCCATCGACATGCAAACAGACAACAGACAGTGGGGCAATTTCCAGGAAGTCGATGACCTTCAATCAATGGCCTTTGGATTTGCTCAACAATATTCATGATGAGGGGGATTTTATGTAAGACCAGTGAAGAAGACAACATCGACCTTCCAATTTTGAATGGAAATGCTGCATATTTGAATCACACGCACACGCACACATTATATATATTTATATGCACTTTTGTTGCTATGAATAAAAGGCTAGGAACCCTAAAAATCTACCTACTGCTGTTTTTCATAATTAATCTAGTGTATGACCCTTGGATATTGATAGAAAAAATAGCGTATTTTTTCTGTCTGTTACAGAGCTAAGAGCTAGAAATTGATCTGCTTTTGTTTGAGCTAATCATTTGACCTTAGCCTTTAAGGACCACATGTAGTTTTTGACCTAATAATTATCTTACAATTCTCTAGTTCCTTTCCTACATTACACTTTCCCGTTATGTTATTAGCAGGTTCTGTGAAGCATTGGTCTAAGTGATTCATAGATCCTTAAAAGCTCATGATTTAGCTGTAGGCTAATTTTTTACTCTCTTCAATTGCGAGAAAATGCACGACTCGTCAGGTACTTTTGTTTACTTAGAGGATATGTAGTGTCATGAAACATTGAGCTTTTGCAGGGCTTTGACTCTAATATATATGCAACTGCTTTGGCTTCTATCCAGGAATATATACATACAGATTTTATTTGAAGATTTGAATCATGTATGATGTTTACGTGGCTGAGGATCATTTTCATATTGATCCCAAGTGAAACCCAGATTATAAAATTCTGGAGCCTCATTTTTTTCTTGATTCGTCCCAGATCATTTTCAATGCTTTGATGTAGACCTGTAAACGAACTGAACGTTCAGCGAACCGTTTGTTAACCATTTGATGGGAAGTTTATTTATGTTCGTTTATTTATTAAACGAACGAACATAAACAAGATTTTGTGTTCCTTTAATTAAATAAATAAATACATAAAAAGACCCGTTTAAAATATTAAAACATAATAAATTTTAACCTTAAACTCATTAATATTTTAAAATCCAGTTAATTTTAAACTCAAATAAAAAATACCTAAATTAATTAAAGAAATGTAAACCCTAAAATTATTTGGAAATAAAAATCTCTTCTCAAATATAAAACCAAATAATTTTATATGTTTGTTTGTTTGTGTCCGTTTACATTCTTTCATTTGTATTCATTTACGTTCTTTCGTTTGTGTTCATTTTAGCGAATGAACATGAACAAACTACATTCGAACATGAACAAACTACATTCTTACATGAAAGAACACTTGTGTTCATTCATTTGTTTGGTTAAAGTTGAACAAATGAACATGAATATTACCTCATTCATGATTCGTTTACGGGCCTCATTAGAAACAAGATCAGATAAAAAAATTATATTAAGAGTATAAATATTTATGAAATATATTAAAAATTTAGAAAATACAAGATTATAAATTATGAAAATAAAATATAAAAGTATCTAAAATATATATAAAATTTTAAAATTTCTAAAAAAAGTGATCGTTTCCCGCATCCTTCTATTCATACTTAATTGAAAATACGATTCAAGATATCAATATCATAATACCCATAGGAAAGAAAATTAAATTATCACGACTCCTTGGTTAATGAAACTTATCCATTATCAGCATGGATGTAGCCAGAATTAAATATTGACTTATTAGGTATCTAAAAGACTTATTAGGTATTTAAAATCGAAATTCAATATGAACCAAGTGACCTTAGTGATTAAGAGATTGTTGTTATTCTTGAGGTCCCGAGTTCAAGCACTGCGTATTTAGGGATATGAGCGTTCATAGTCAAATAGTTGAAAGTCTTTGTACAGATACTACCTTGTATTCACCTTAAATTTATAAAAAAAAAACTTAAAATTCATAAGACAACTTCTAATTTGTCTAATATTTAAACTTACAATGACCTAAATTATAATTAGATCGAAAATTTGAGAACACAGACTTATCATTCTTTAGTTCGACCTCTACTTGGTTAAATATTTAATATTTTTTTATATTTTTTAAATTTAAATATTTTTTTTACATGAACCAAAATATTATTAAACTAAAATCATATCGAATATACAAATCTTAACAGGGGTCGGGTCCCTTTGGGTCGTAAGGGAGCTCCGTCCCTGTTTACCAATAATAATCTAACTTTGGATCACGTGATGTTGGGTTACTATATAAACTAAAATCATATCGAATATCAAATCTTAACAGGGTCGGGGTCCCTTTGGGCCGTAAGGGAGCTCCGTCCCTGTTTACCAATAATAATCTAACTTTGGATCACGTGATGTTGGGTTACTATATCTTAAAAATTTAAGGGGCTTAAAAGGGTGTGAGCCTACTTTCTTAATGGCAATCAAGAAAGAGACTGAGGAAATCAAGTTTAAGGTACCTAAAGAGTCGATAAGATATTGGAGGAATATCGAGAAATTATGCCTAAAGAGTTGCGAAAGAAACTTCCGCCTAAGAGGGAAGTGGATCGTGTTATCGAGTTTAAGCCTATTGTGAGACCCCTATTATGGTACCTTATCGCATGACGCTTCCCAAGCTTGAGAAACTAGAGGTAACTGTAACACCCCAAATTTATGCTAGTAGTTTTGGGTTTATCCGAGTATTATATGGACCCCATGGAGTTCGTAATTTAGGTTGTTGGGCCAAGTTGAGCTTAATTGTGTTGGAATTGAGCCCAATTAGCCATAAAAATGAGATTTTTGTCATAGTAGGAAATGATGAGGGACCAAGCATGCAATTTCATCCATTTGGAAAAGATGAGGAGAAGCCTTATCTCCTTCATATCATTCTCTTCATTTCTTCACTGTCATTTCCTTATCTTCCATTTCTCCTCTCAAAGTGCCATAGTAAGTAAGTTCTTTGAGCCTTTCATACTTCTTTTAAGATTCATTTTCATCCTTAACCCCTCTAGTAAACTTGTTTTAATGATTCAAAGCATATGGTTCTTTATTTGTAAGAAAAAATGGGGTTTTGACATTCAAGTCTTGGAAGAGTGTGGTAGCTAGCTAAGTGAGCTTCATTTCGGGATTCTCTAACAAAGGTATTATATTTCTAATACTTTGTGGTGTTAAGACTTTCATAATCATGAAATTTTGTTGAGATTTGGGGTTTTTAAGCATTTCTAGGGTTTATGTTTGATTTCATGATTATATGACAAAATTTATGTAAATAAGGTATTTTTATGTCACTTTAAGACCTTAAATAACTTCTTAAATCTTTAGTACATTATTAGGAACCAAACTAATACATTTGAGGTGATTTTTGGGTGTTTCTCGAGCCTAAATAATACCTTTGAGTTTTGAGGATTGAAACTGGATGAATTGGGTCGATTTTGGGCATTTTATAAAGGGAGTACCGATACTCTATGGGGAGTATCAATACTGATGCCCTGGTACCTACTTGAACCATCTGTCTGTAGTAACAAAATCCTTCAATTTGTGATTTAAATCCCAGAACAAGCCTCTAAAAACTCTTTTTCCTGGGGATAACTTGTTCATCAAATGTGGTTGTAAGATAAGTGTAGGAGCGAACAATGGTTTCTGGGGTGAAGTATTCTATTGCGTGCAACAAATGTGGCAGCTCATTGTACGACTGACCACAATCACCATACAGTAGTTTCATAGCTTTTCGTTTGCCCATCCAAGACTTGTAATGAGACATAATATAACAAAATGTATTCTTTATTGATGCCAAGACCATTGATATCAGAGTCTAAGTGTTTGTGGTCTTGTGTCAAGGAGCTGGACGTGCAACTGTGCTGGTTATGGAACCTTGTCACTTCCCATAACATCTTTCGATATAGGTATGAGACACGTATCCTCCACTTACAGCCAACGTTGTTGTTAATACATCTAAAAAATATGTCTTTTGTCAGACTCCACAACAGTGAATTCCATATGAGCTTTTATACAAAACTCATTCACAACTAGTTGCACATCATCCTTACTCTCAAACTATGACCAACTCCAAACGCCATCGATACGTCATCCAAGGTCCCCTAGTGGGCTACTCGCAGATCGAACATATCAGGAATCTCAAGATTTCTCATGGCATCATAGTTTATCTCATGCATTGTAACTCCATGACAATATTGAGGCATCTGGGCGATTATTGGTGTATCATCATCCATCGTAAGTGGAACAAAAGTTTCATCGTCTTCGCTAAAATAGCAAGGATTTCACCGAATTGCCCAACAAGGTTATCTACATCTTCTGATAGTCCTGCTTCTACGGCCACTATTGTAATTGAGAAGTAATAACATCTGTAGTTTCGATAATAATCTCAATCATTTTATTATTGAAATATTTATGAAGGCCAACCATAACAGCTACATCATCATTATCATTAGCAGAATTCCTCCATATTTAGCAGAGTCTCTTAAATGATGTATCGATATCTCAAACTTGAAAAAAAAGCCCTTATTTTTTTTTCAATTTTTATCTTCATTTGTCCATGATTTATATTTGACGTGAACATCATGTTCACGAGACTCTGTGACGTGAAATGGACACCATCTTCAGTTTAAACAACTTAGTCATTTGGGTGGACGAATGTGAAAAACTTGTTTGCCATAGCTTCATAGAAATTGATTTTTCCTTGTTCAATACAATTTTAAAAACAACAAGTCTTCTGAAGATTCATCTAAAGTGAACCAATTTAAAACAAATACGACCCTTCATTAATTATCATCAAACAACTCTCCAGTGAAATGTCATCTCAGTAGGCACTGTTTTAGTTACTTTTCAGTGCTCAATTAATGCACCATTTCAGCTACTTTTTAGAGGTCATTTATTGCAGTAATAATGTAACGGTTGGCTTTTTCAGAGGTAATTTAATGCAGAATTCAGCAAATTTTCATAAAAATGGTGAAATAGTTGTGCATTATCGTCTTCATCAATTTTTCAGTGATATATCAACTCAAATCAGAAAAACGTGTTTTAAACTCAGGCAAAATAGTGCACATTCCAGCCATTTTTCAGTGAAATATTAAATCAATCAGAAAACTTTTCAGTGTTGAATTATCACTTCAAATCATAAAAAAACATGTTTTACAACCAGCCAAATTATTCATTGTTTCAGTTACTTTTCAGTGCTAAATTAATGCACTGATTCAACTACTTTTTAAAGATTATTTATTGCAGTAATAATGCAACGGTTGGCTTTTTTAGATGTCACAATGCAGAATTCAAGCAACTTTTAGAAAACAGGTGAAATAGTGGTGCATTATCATATTCTGCAACTTTTCAGTGATATATCAACTCAAATAAGAAAACTTGTTTTTAACCCAGGCAAACTAATACACCCTTCAAGTTATTTTTCAGTGAAATATTAACTCAAATCAGAAATCTTTTCAGAGGACATTTATGCATCAATAGTGCAACTTTTCAAGGTCATTCAATGCATAATTTAAACAACATTTCAGAAAATGAGTGAAATAATGTTGTCTTATCATCTTCAACAACTTTTTAGTGATGTATCAACTCAAATCAATTTTTTTTGTGGTGCATTTATCACTTCATATAAGAAAAACATGTATTTCTCATAGGCCAAATAATGACTCATTTCACCACTTTTCAGTTTTCATTTAATCATCTTCAACAACTATTAATATGAGTTGAAAGCCATTTTACTCTAATATTGAAGTAAGAAAAAAACAAAACACCTTAAATCTGTCACTTCCAAAGATTGAGTTTTTTCAAACATGTCAACTATTTGTACAACTGTTTTTATGATTGCAAATCTATAACCATGTGTTTCCCAAAAAAAACACAACTACATGAGGTGAAGTTCAGTATAGAAACAAGAGTTCTACTCGGAAACAATAGAAGAGTTTCTTCCTTATATTATAAATTTCCAGTATCATCCACGAGGTTTCATCTAAGCGATAATGTAGACCTTGCTGGCATGATTGAGACATATTTCTATCACTCTGTCTAATGTCGATTTGTTTGTAGAGTTCGATGATCTCCACCTTGCTTGTAGCATTGACGATGTCGCTTCTAGCTCGAATATCCCACCAACTCAGACAAATGACCAAGACAAAACATAGATGATGGAGACCCAAAAGCATAATTCCAATAACAAAAAGAATGGGGAATTGAAGAATTTAATCTTATTTCTGACGAGTTTACTGATTACGAAGATTAAAACTTCTTAATCAATATTGCTATGTTAATGATTTTATTTAATGTTTATGGTGTTCGTAAAGTTATCATATTTACATCCTTATTGTAGCATTGACGATGTCGCTTCTAGCTCGAATATCCCACCAACTCAGACAAATGACCAAGACAAAACAGATGATGGAGACCCAAAAGCTAATTCCAATAACAAAAGAATGGGGAATTGAAATTTAATCTTATTTCTGACGAGTTTACTGATTACGAAGATAAAACTTCTTAATCAATTCTGCTATTAATGATGTTATTTAATGTTATGTGTCGTAAGTTATCATATTTACATCCTTATGTTAATGTATTAAGTTTGTATTTTTTATTCTTAATGTGCATTTATGAAGGTTTAATCTAATGCTCATAGTTTACTGTTCTATTCAACATAATATACCACATTTTGGAGAGAGAAAAAAAAACTAAATTCACATAATAATATGAAAAATATTTTTTAATAGATATCATCATCTTGATGTGACAAGTTATATGTATTTTTTTTCAAAATTAAAATTCACAAAATAATCTGGAAAAGTTAATATTTTTTTTGTTACGAGTTCCCTACACTGTAGAAAATATCGTAGATCCCAAAATAATTTTTGAATTACCCTATTGGACCAAATAAACTTAATGGATGGCCTATTGGGCTAAAAAACCATAACCATAAACCTAAGTACAACCCAGTTGATGAGGTATGTATGAACCTATTAAACTCATATATATTTTTTTATTTTACATGTATAATCATTATTAAAAGTTTTAAGAATAGGATATTTTATGCAACGGATATTATAGGTAATATATTTTTTCAATAGAATAATAATAATCATAAAAAATGAAAGCCCAGATTCAACGGTTGGAGTTACGCAAACGTGGGTTACGAAATCAATAGTCAAAAGTAGTGTGAAAAAATAAATTCAAATCCCCCCTAGAAGACGTGCAAATTTTAACCATGCTAATCCTTGTATTTTATTTTGTTTAATCCTCAAATGAGACAATAACTCGTGTTTATTATTTTGTAATTTAAAACCAACACGTCATCAGCTGTCCCATTTGTCATGTGCCTAATCAACATTAAAATTCTTAAATCATCAATAATTTTTGCTTTATCTTTTATAATTAATAATAAATGTACACTTATCTTTTGACAAAGATTGGAGTTGGAAGTGTTTGTCAGCCCTCTAATTTTCAGATATATTTTATTATGTAATAATTTAAATTGTTTTGCACTAAGCTTTTTATTTATTTTTTAATGTGTCAGCCTTTTCCCCTTCTTTATGCAACTACAAGTAATGGAATCCAACAAATTCCATTCTAATTTTTCCTTTTATTTCATGTCTCCTTTTATTTAATAATAATAATATCAATGAAATAAACTATTCAATCTATAAAATATCATATTTATGAATCTTCAAATATATCTGATTTGATTAACTGTGAATAATATAACTTCATAACGTAAACATCAATCTAAAAGTGATTATAAACTCTTTTTTAGTCTATAATTTGGTCAAGATATGAGAATCTAATTTAAGATTTAATGTGGTGTATTAGTATAAATTATACTATCAACTCGAGTTTGATTATGTTGTCTATACATGTCAATAGGGGTTATGAGTTTCAAAGATGTAACTAATATGTGATTATTTTAATAGTCTAAAGTAATTAAAGATAGTATAAATTAAAAATATTTTTTAGTCATTAACGATGCATATACACCTTATAGACGTAATTGTTCATACTTGAACTTCTATAAAGAATAACCCTAATTAATCTGAACCGACCAGAGTCTCACACCTGGCTTTGGTAGCAGGATTTTCTACATACAAGGATCGAACTTGAGACATTGGTTAAGAGTGATTAATTAGTATTTGAATAACATTTTTTATCACTAAGATTGCTCAATGAGTTTAATTAATATTTGAATTTAAATAAGATAAGTATGATTAATTAAATTAGTTAAAAAATATAGTATGGTTAATTAAATTAGTTAAGAAAGGGTGTTAGCTCATAACGTAGGGTTTTGCATTCAATCAATGGGACATTTGGTCTATAAATATGAATACAAGGCCGTGGCTTATTGGAATTATTATATATTAAAAATTATAAAGAAACGCTTATGTTAGGTAAACCTACTCATTAGAACATAAACCCTAGGTGGGTGGGTCCTAGTAAGGGTGTGCACCCCTCCTAATCATGAATGCAAAGCTAATTGACACGAAATAAATAAGGTATTTTAGACCCATTCAAACAAAAAATAAAGATTCATAAATTTTTTAAACGATTTAAAATAATCATCATAATATTACTTGATATTAAGAAGATGATTGACAAGTTAATTTTATGGTTAATATTTTTTCAAGTAGATGTTAATAATTTATTGATGTAATTTTTAGTTAGTTATGTTTTCAAGAAAATGAAAACCAACATATATATTTTTTAATTATTTTTAAACATTTTTTTATTGAAATGCTTAGCAAATTATGTTTGGAACATTTAACACCTTTTCATAGAAATGTTTAGCAAAATTTACAATTCATTGAAAATAGAAACTGAAAATGGAATATTTAACAAAATTTTGGAATTAAATTTTATCTACTAAACAATTCCAACCTTTATCAACAATAAGTGCTACGTCTATTGTTGGTGACTCATCTAATCAGTAATTAATCCCAGTGATCCATAAATTACAAACAAAGAGGAAAACGACAATATTGTTTGGCTGACCAGAAAGTTTACTAATTTTTCTCGGAGACAGTCTCCGTATATACAATCATCAGCATCAGAACAGAAGCAGAATCATACTCCATAAAGAAGAAGAAGAAAAGACAAGGGTGTCTATTTTCAGTTCCTCATCATTCTAAGGGCGAGTGCTTGAAGCTCACCCAGATCATTATTGTAGGGTCTTTTCCTAAGGGGATGAAACTCCTCCCTGCTTTGTATTTCTTGCGTTTTCATGGCATCACCACTGTTGAGTTCAACCGACTCGAGTGAGCTCTGTGGAGAAATGGGGTTCACGTAGGTTGTTGGATAACTAGTAAAGGAAGGCACAATACCACAAAGATTTCCTTGCCATTGATTCTCCATGTGATGTGAATTCATAGCATTTTGAGCTAGTTGAGTTTTCACTTGCATTAACTGAGCTTGTAGATACGCCACCTATGAAATGAAACCCAGAAAAATATTAGAAATGCTCTTAAAGCTAGATAAACAAAAATCCTAGAAGTTGGTCTCCTATCATAAAATCTTGGGTCCGCCTTTGAATCTAGTTATTACCTGTTGTTGTAAGGCGAAAATATGAGCAACGCAACCATAAACAGGATCTCCAATCCTTGCTTGAGCCTCATAAGCAATGGTGAAGACCGCCTCACAACGATCATGAGCAGGGACATGCAGCAACAATTTGGAGGCATTGCTAGCACCGAAGACTTTATGGATGGCGGCGAACCTTGCGGGGCCTTGTTCCGAGCAGAAATAAGGAGCAAATATACAGTCAGAGGCGCATTTTCGTCTCAGGAACTTGCATGCACCACAAGGGGAGCCAGTGACAGAACCAGAGGATGCCATGTCAGAAAGATAAAAGAGAAACAAAGGGGATGGATTCAGAGGAATAATCTTAAAGATCTTTCGAAGCACACGAGTACACTAGGAAACGGTGCTACAATTAATGGGGTTTGTGGAAGGGGGGCTAGGTGAAAGTGGGGGCTGTTGCAGGGCACAAACAGTGATGAATGGGGGGACACTGGAGGCCTTTATGTAGGGTTCGAAAGGAACATTTAATGATGGTTTTATGCTACTATGGATCTATGGGGATTGTTCATTTAATGTTTTACTATATGATTTAAAATTGGGTTTACATTATCTGAACATTTGTTTAACACATTTGAAGTTTGATTTTTTTGGTAGAAAGCTGGGACTTTTCCTTTCGATTTGTTTTATATTTTTCCGCCGATCGCCGCACGTTGGAACTGCTGCTGTTTGTCGCTTTGTGATTGCCACCTGCCGTTAAACCCCACCGACAACCACTAAGTGAATTACGACTTTTTTCCCTTTCTTTTTACTGCAGTAGTTTAATGGTGTTTGAAGACAGATTAGAAAAAGAGAAAGAGATAAGCCAAGTTACAGAAGCAACAAAGGCCGATCATTATGCATTGAAAGTGTAAAGCCAAAAGTCTAACAAAGCAAATACGCGTTGAATAGATGGTGGAGTCAAAACTAGAGCCCTGTGCAGCAAAGGAAAACTCAAACATTTTCTTTTGTTTTGATTGGTAATCTCGACTGTTGGAATTCAAATCTTTTAAAAAAGACATTCTCTTTAAATACTAAAATCAATCAATAGGTTCGAGAAAGAAAACCCTATCAACCCAAAACACTGCAAATATGGAGTGGTTGTGGCGGCTGAAAAGCATTAATGGATTTAAAGCTCGTCACTCCCTTACAGAGGATGATGGCTGTTTGCATTAAATATCATACATGACTGTGTCATATGAACTTCCTTGCTAGCTAAGCTTCTGCCACCGTACCACACCAGCAAGCAGGCTTATGATTCATATGCAAAGAAATGCAAAATCATTTCTAGCCAGTCAATGTTACCAGCATTTGTAGTTCAAGTCAACTTACAGAGTCATCCATGCACATGTAATGATGCAAACTAACAAGTTCAATATCATTAATAGGTGGATGCTGAGACCATAAGCAAGTACTACCTTTAGGTGACTCTAACCTAACCTTCAGCTCTCTGTATTTTCAAGAGGCGGGGATTCCCGATTCGACCGACTTAACCTGCTGAATATAGGGATCCACGACACAGTTTTTATTTCGGGGTCAATTTATTTATTTAAAATTTTCAGTCACTGCTATTCCCCTTACCCCATTACATATGGGAATAAGGATCAGCTAATTTTTTTTCAGTCACGGCTAACACCTCGATTTTGCAATTATTTACCAATAATGGTATGTGCAGTTGTGCACCATCATTTCTTTCCACCATGTAAGATGAAATCAAAGAAGAAATGGATTAAAGTAGCAACTGTTTTTCCTTTACTTACCAAAGGCTTTGACGTGCATAACAAAATCAGCAAAGTAAACCCCCTTGCCTAAATGGAAGACAAAAGTGTTACAAATGTTTGTCTTGCAAAAGAAATGTGTATGACCTGTATGCAACCATATAGCCAGTCGCTGGAGCTTCTGGAGGAGCTATTCTTAGTCCCTGGCTAAGTATCTCTACAAAATTTGTCAGCCGAGAACCTGCATACGAAAATATCTCATAATCTTGAAAAACTGTAGCATCAGTAGAATCGCCCCAAATTATTTGTAGCGATTTGTGAAGCACTCATATCCTATGCAAATAAAAAACCCACTTACCATGCCACAGAAGCATTTTGTTACTAAGCTTTTCTCTGTAAGGAGCCAACTTATCAAATTCTCCTCCTCCTTCAAGTGAGAATACTTCTTCCGGTTCAAGTGTCCATTCCTGAAGGTAACAAATAGTTGCAGTAATTTTATATTGCAAATTGAACCTACATTACAGAGCTTCCAACATTTTCACCTACATTTCAAGCAGAAAATGACTATAGATTAATGCTCACATGAATTATATGTACATGCAAATTAGTTTATGAACAAAATTTAGAGCAATAATTGAGCAAGTTGACTCCAACTCCCTGCCTTCTGCATGCGACAGCACAAAATACATTGGTATCTTATTCGTACCCATGAAGTGAAGCAGTCAATAACATTTTCTCAAAATTTAACAGTATTCTTTGTACCTTAGAATAGCATCTAACTTTCAGAACGTGTCACAATGACGTAGGTAGTACAAAATGAAAATGGCATTCACCCACAGCATAATGGTACAACACAAGGAGAAAATGTCCAGCTACAAGCTAGGTGTTGCATAGGCAACTCACAAATATAACAAGAGCTACGGCCTACATATTGAAGATCTCATAAGAAAACAGCATAAAACCTTCAGTATTTAACAGGAAAAAAAGGTAATTAAGTATCAGTCCTACAATGAGAAATTGCCTCTGAATTCACCATGAGAACACCAATGCGCAAGCGAAACAAAATTGGGACTGCTTAAAATAAATGGATACAAGAAGCACACAGGTAAATTCAACTATATGCAAGTGAGTGCATGAACCAATCGATCTTAATGGTAAAGGGATTCTTATTATTCTTTGAGACCTCAGGTTCAAGCACACATATGTAGGCATTTATTATCAAATAGTTAAGAGTCTTTGAACAAATATTATCTTATATTCACCTAGAATTATAGAAAAATATATGTGAGCCAGTAAATGTAACTACTAGTATTGACAATAGAAATAAGTCTCCATACAATTAAATACATTTATTTATTTTGAGTCAAACATAATTCTATACGGTTAGGCATTACCATCACTAATAAAATAAATTACCAACAGGGATTGTTCAAGGGGTTGTTCAAGTGGTAAACAGTTTATATTGTTTAAGCAAAGTCTTGAGTTCAAGGTCTAGTGTATGCAGAAGATCCCTGCTGGAAGATTCATTCACCAAAATCAGATGTGCAACGCGAGTCAATTTGAATTCATTAAGGCAAAACCTTAAAACCAGAAGCATTAAAAAATAAGGGAAAAATAATATTATGTAGAATATATATACATTTGAATTAAAATCATCTTCATCCCTTATGACATGTGGATGGATAGAAGGAATAACAGTAAAAAAATATTTTCAATGATAAAATTGAAAAAAATCGACGGTTAATTTTTTTTTATAGCTAAATAGTCATACGTATAGTTTACCCTTTGCCTTAACAATAATATAATATAACTATCCAGTATTAACCCAAAGAAACTTCTTTTGTTGGGCTTCTGTTTTTAGCCCATTTGCTTTGCTAGTTTATATTTATCTTCCCAATCTCTTGACAAAGAAAAGATCCCAGATTCCATAGCAAATGAAAGCTTTGTCAGTAAATCCTGCAACGTCCAATACCGATTCCTGATTAAGTATTATTTTTCTTCTTCAACAAAATTTTGGGTTCTATTCTACCGTAGCCTTACCAGGTAATCTTTCCGGTTTCAACGCACTTTCTTTTTAATTATTCTCTCGCAGATCTGCATTTCTTCACTTTCGATTACCCTTTTTCTCGCTTTCTCATTCTCTAATTTTTGTTTTTCAACAATTCTTTAACTAATTTCGTTCAATTCTTGAATCAGTACAGATTTTGGAAGTACCCAAACAGGTCAAGAAAGACTTTGCTTTTGATTCTTTCGAAGAAGGTTAAAAGGGGATTTGGTTCTCACATTTTAGAAGAAACATGAATCCTAGACGGTCAGTTTAATCTCTATTTTACGGTAACCCCAATGGTTTGGTTGCGTTAAATTGCTTGATTAGATCTGTTTGTAAATAATTAGCATCTGATCAGTTATTTGGGAAGTTTACCCTATTAATTTGTCCCATTCCATATAAATTTTATATGTTTCTGGATAATTCACATGTGATCCGAAGAAGGTGTTTGTGAATTTCCCTTTTAAAACTGAACTTGCAATCTAATTATTAATATCAAGTGATGGAATGCTCTTTGATTATTAATCTTGATTATGCCTTCGATTTGTTGTGATGTTGTTGTATCAAGATCTTGAATTTCTCTTTTAAAGCTGAACTTGCATTCTACTTATTATAGATAAAGTTTTACGATGATCTTTGAATATTAATCTTGATTATGCCTTCGGTTTATATATTCCACCCTCCAGCTGAAGAAGTTATCATTTTGTTAATGTTCTGGCAATCTAATGAGATATGCATGTGTGCAGGGACATGCGTAACAACAAGGTTGCCCTTTTCGATGGCATCGAGGAAGGTGGAAAAAGAGCCTCGTCTTCTTACTCGCACGAAATAGATGAGCATGAAAATGAAAGAGCAATGGAAGGATTGCAGGACAGAGTCAATCTGGTGAAGAGAGTAAGTATCATCTTTGCCGCTAATGCCATTATTAATCGCATTGTTCACTTGCTTCCATAAACTACATGATAAATTGCAGATTCTTAGTGTTGTAGATTTTTTTTAATTAATGTCAATAAACTGGATAAATGGGATTTTAGAATCTTGTAATTACCTGTAATAAAAGGATCCTTTTACATTCTTCAATTCCTTTCCCTTCCATTGCCTTCCCTTTTGTTCTATTTCAGTCTTGAAACTCAATTCTTTTATTAATGGCATTATGCTCGTGTAAATATGATAGTCTGTTGCACAAATCTATGTTCTATATGACTAGGCATTTCCATCATTCAGGTTTTATGGCTCGAGCATGTTTTGGGGTAGATTTTCAGGTTGAATCCTGATTCACTGCCCTGTTCTAGGAAATCATAATATAATACTTCCTGATCAATGCAAGCATGTTCTGATACATGTCATCTCTATAGCTTTCTGGCGACATTCACGAGGAGGTGGATAGCCACAATCGCATGCTGGATCGTATGGTATGTATGCACCAGTAATAAGACTATATTCTTCTAAATTGAATTGGTTTTTGCCGCTGCCGATGACAATATATGCAACATGGTTTTTAACAAGGGAAATGATATGGATTCATCGAGGGGAATACTCTCAGGAACCATGGACAAGTTTAAGATGGTATGTGAACTAGCAAACTTTTCTGTGTCTTTGCATAACTTCTAATAAGCGTGTGTGGATCTGCGTCTCTGTTCGATACATCGATTGTACGTGCCATGACAATGAATTTGATATGCCTTTCAGGTGTTCGAGACGAAATCAAGCAGGAGAATGTTTACGCTGGTGGCATCTTTTGTGGTTGTTTTCCTTGTGATATACTATCTTACTAGGTAACTGGTGTGGTGTATTTTATACAACTGCAAGCTTTATATGAGAATTTGGAAGACCCTTTCCTTCTTGTACATGGTGACTTGTAAACAATGTGCTTCCTACATGTATGATATTTTCTCATGTTTGTATAAAGATGTTTCGATGTGATATGAAACAAACTGGCCTTTGATAGCAGTGAATGATCCATTTTTTGCATCTACGGTATAAGTAATCTGCACGATCATTAACATGTACCTGTGTCAATGGGATTTTGAGACTTGAAAAGCATATTCATGATTCATCATATCTTATGCTTTCAAGCAATTAGGTTTGGATGGTGAATTTTGAGCCAGAATCACATCAGACCTTCAATCACGGAACTTAAGTTGATTAAACCTTTTTCAATTTTTATAAGATAATTTCAAAAGCTTGCCGTCCCAATAATTCCGCAAGGATCATCGCTTGTATTTTCCAGTGTCCACGCCTACTGATTCTACTTATATTTGCTGTCGACCCCCAAGAGAGAGATTCTATTTGTTGTGTTACCCCGAAGAACCTTTCGTTTTATGGTTGAACCATCACTTGAATCAAACCCTAAGCCTTTCGAATCCACCATTTTAACTCAAAATCATCCCATATTCGATCTAAAATTTCCATCGTCAGGTCAACCTATTTTCAAGCTATGCTCTTCTCGTTGTTTATCAACCTTTAATCGTTCAAGTTTTCTAATGAGGCTCCGATCATTCGAAAGCTCGGGAACAGAATGATGAGTTTCATGTGCTAATTTTTATTTCCTCATTTATTTTTTTGAATTTTATCTAATGTGATTTGCTGCTAGTTTGATTTAGTTCTATGAAACTGGTAATAGGTAAGGGTATAGATTAGGTTGATGCATAGCAGTTGTCGAATAGTCGGTAAGAAGAAAGGAAAGAGGGAAGGAACCGATTGTGCGAATAGGGATAAGTGTGAATGAAGATGGCTAAAGATACCCCAGAAATGTAAACATCTAAGCGTTAGTTTGGCATTATTTTTTAAAATTAACTTTTAAAAGTATTGTAGAAAATAACTTTTAAAAGTACAATTTAAAATTTAACTGTTTGATTGAGATTGTTATTAAAAAGTTATTTTTTTAAAGATAAAATGCTCATTTTAGACATGATATATAGGTTTGTTATAAATATAATTTACCCTTAAAATTGCTAACAAAAGTTTTGTTCACTTGTAACTTATAGTCATAAGAACTTGTTCCCACGTTTCTGTATTTGCCACTTAAGGTACACTTCCTCCCTGTGCCGAAACCATCTTACCTTCTCCACTTAAAAGCGTAATTAGTAAATGTTCACCCAACAATATGTTTTTCCATTCCCAGGTCCAATTTTTAACCTGTCGCAAACTGCTGTTTTTGCTGTACAAGTCCCTCAATCGCAGCCAAGGGCTTTTTCTATACATTTTCAAAGCAATTCAACATTTCAATCGAACCTAAACTCTCTCTCTATATAGTCTCTTTATTTCAAAGTTATTTAAAAGTAAGAACTCATTGAATGCTCTTAGTGATAAATAGGAGTATTGTTCTCTTTAAAAGCCTCGAATGTGAGCAGATGTGTTTGCATGGCGATTGTGTGCATTATCAATGACAAAGAAAAAATTTAAATATATATTATCTTATAATTACTGTAACGACACGGTAAAGTTTGAATCAATGATAGAAATCAAATAATTAACGGCAATGTGAGAGAATCGTAGAAGATAGTATGGGGCCTCTAGTTAAGGGTAAAAATGCATGCTATTTTTTTCCATGAATTTGTTTTTAGAAACCAGAGATCTCCACTGTTCATCCCATTGATTCACCCTACCTTACTAGAGGAATTGATGACATAAAGTTGACTGTAAAGATGGAAATGACTTGCAGCTGTCAGATCAGTGCAAATATAATGCAAATGGTTGCACATGATCCAATTAAACTGAAACGCAAATTATTTTTCATGAATTTGTTTTTAGAAACCAAACAAAATAATGAGACGACATTCTTGATGTGCGGCCTACTGGATCCCCTGATTTTCCATAAGCTGGCAAGAAATGATGATTTATTGTTGGAGACAGCCAGTCTATGATCGACGCGAAAGCATGGTCTTAAAAGAATTTGTCTAGGAACATTTGTTGTGAAATTCACCACAAGATGGGAGTAATCAAATGAGAAATACCATTCTTGAACGAGAAATTCTAAACTGGGATTCACGTTAAACAAGGAAAGGTTTCCTATTAATACTCAGCCATGAAAATATGGCCCAAGTAGAAATTAGATATCTTTATTTTTTCCTTACTTGAACCTTTAGCTCCATGAAAATATGCTACTTCTCATGATGAATGTTAGAAGGATTAATGATCACCCACTAGCTAAAAATAAGTGATTTCCATCGATGAGAAATGCAAGAACATACATGCATGCATATGTACATACAAGAAAAAAGAACATACATCATCTGATGAAAGATAACATATCCTTTATATATATGTTTCTATGTATATTGTCTACTTCAAGACAAGGAAATAGTGTTTATTTTTCGTTTGAATGCATAAGAACGAAGGTAAGTAACTAAATATCAAATAGTAGAAGATATTTTAAAAGATCTTGAGATGAAAGGGCATGTTTCCATGATGGGGTCATGCAACTCAACTGTCTGCCTAGTTTTAATTCACTAATTGATGCAGAAAAACAAGCTTAATGCATCCAAAACATAACCTAATTCATGAACAACAGATTTAAGTTTAATCCAACGTAGGAGTTATAGAAAACCCTACTGAGAATCAATCTTTTTCTACCGGCCATTGTAATAGTAATTCATAAAAATAGCTTAAAATTCCAATTATATTTTACCAAAATTTTCTTATGATTAAGGAAAACATTTCAATTTGATGTTAAAATCTTTGTTTAAACCATGGGGGTTTTCACATTCAACAAAAACCACTACATGAATGATTTCTGGGGAAACCATAGGAAAGTAAATTAGGGTTTCACAAGTCAATAGGCAAGCTCATCCATATTAATGTCTGCTAATAATCTCAACTTCATTAAAACATGAAAATACAGAAAGTACTCAAATGGGAGAAAAACAAGATAGTGCAAAAGAGCACATAGAATATAAAAGAAGAAGATCTTACAGAATCCAAGTTCTGAAGCATTAGGCATGGAAAAGAAACTCCTTTTCTTCTTCTTTCTCCTCATTATACTTCTTACTTGGCACCCTAAAATAGGCCGAAATTGGTACGCATACATTTATTGATCGATGTGGGAATTGTGGGTGAAACAACTTCATGTGGTACTCTCTTAAACTTTTCCCATATCAGCAAATATATATCTCTCCTAGCTACCTGGCTGTTACTTCATAAAGAATATTCCATACTGTACATATATAGAGAGAGGAAATTTCTTGATTCTTAGTAGTACCAATTATCAAACATATATGAACATATACTATGGATATTGACCTAATCGAAGCTCCAAATCTAATTCATCCTCTTGACTACTTCCATCAGCCTTCTTGTTTTCATTATCGTCTACATGTGAAGGACCGATTCTCAAGTTGAGACTCCGAGGCCAATCCTCGTTGACTCTTAACGGATTCATTTGCCGTGAATTTTCGACAAACAGTTCGTTCCCATTGTGTGTGTGTTGGGGTCTAAAACCCCAACCCGATGAAGCTGGGAAAAGAGCTTGATAACTTACATAATTTGGCTGATAGCTTTGGATCGGCGGATACGAATACGACGATCTAAGGCTCGAATAACTCTCGTCGTTGATGACTTCGCGAACTATAGGAATCGAGCTAGGCCGACTGTTCTTGGCTCTATCTTTCCTGTGGATATTCATGTGCCCTCCCAAGGCTTGTGCTGTCGTGAACCCTCTCTTGCAAAACACACACTCGTAGGTCTGTCCGGTGCCGGTGTCGTCCGACTGATCGGTCTCCTCGCTAGAGCTCTTGGAATCTTCGAGGTGATGGTTGGTTTCCATGGAAAGACTGAATTAAGATGTAAGAAGAGAGAGATCAATGTTCAGTACTGCAACACAAAAGATGGGGTATTATAAGGAAGAAAAAGGATGAGAAGAAAGAAATAGACAAGAGACAAATAAAGGACATAGGCATTGGGTTTGAACAAGATTTCTCTGAGAGAGAAAGTCTCTTAGATGCTTGCTGTGAGGGCTTTTCTGTTAGCCGGCAGACAAATTTTATCTCCCGAATTCAATCTTTAATATTATATATAATGATTCTAAATTAAATGGTAAACCTGTTCACATTAAAAGCATAATTCTCCGGCCAACTACTAATTTTTGTGTGTTAAGTACGTTATCATACTAAACTTATAGAAATTCCCATTTTCTTTACTATAAACAACACAAAGGTAAATCATCAAGAATTAACATTTCCAAAGTTAAAAATTCATTTCAGTACTTAAAATGAACTTTTAATTATAAGTTAGTCTCTTTCCATTTATGTTTTTCAATTAGCACCAAAGAATGTTCCATCTATAATTAATACTGCTATATTTAGATGTGTCCATCAAGTCCATGCTTATGCAAAATTTTTGCATTAAACAGGAAAAAATAAATAAAACCATGATTTAATTATGATGGTATAATGAAGCCTGTGAGGAAAGATGCAGGAACCTTCCTGCAGAATATATTTTATGATGGAAAACAATGCATTTTTGTATTTTGCATTTGTCCTCAAGTATAAGCTTTTTCCCACCATAATTAATGGGAAACACTTATCTTTTAACAACTTCATTTGCTATCACAGTTTGCTTTGATCACCTTAAATACTTTAGTAATAAACAAAACCCAGAAACCAGACCCTAAAGGAAAAACAAAATCTGCCATTCAAGAGTGTTGGATTTTCTCAACTTTTTGGAATTGATCATGCGTGTATATACATTCTTGGATGTATCTGTATGGCATGGAGCAGCCTAAATGTAATGAGAATTGAAAGAAAGAAGAAGAATGACGAGCAGATTGAAGTTGAGTCCTTTTCGTAAATTGTGTGTGTTTGCAGGCCGACATTTTTATATAAGAGAGTAGGTTAGATATGTTAAAAGGGCAGGTTTGCTTGGTTACATACGTCGGGAAAATGGCAGCACTGTTAAATTTCCACCAAATTTATGGTTTTTCTAATCATTACAAATTCCTTTTTGTAACTAAATATGTCTATATATCCAAGGAGAAAATTGAAGATGCTGCTGATTTTTTTTAACAATTAACATTCAATAATTTATACACTTCAATTTAAAAACACAAATACAGAGAATACCGCTGTAAGCCATTATATTTGGTTAAAAAATTATAAGTTTTCTCTGTATGAATATGATGCACTAAATAGATAGTTATCAATTTAAAATACTAGTATTATTAAAAGAAATCGTTAAATAACTTTAATTGTATTAAATAAAACTTAAAATAAATAGGGAAAAAAGTTATTGTGGTTCTCACAGTATTATCATTAGATTTTTTTTTCTAAGCAAAAATATTGTATCATCTTAATAATAATACATAATTACATTTGGTAATTATGTATGACATGAACAACAAATTCATTTATGATTTTTTTTTTAAATAATTGTTTTGGATAAATATTTGATGCATTAATAGTGTATAATTCTACACATCAGTAAATTAGATGATAAATATCACCCACAATAAGCTTAAATGAATTTAATTTAAAAAAATTGAAAATATATTATTATCTAATTCATGGTGATATATAAAGATTGTACAGAGTCGATGTTATATATTGATCCATTATTTTCTACATATTTTTTATTTTTTTCCCTTTTGAAGTTATTTTGTTAAAAGAATATCAATTAATTTAAAATGAGAAAAAGAAAGTGTATATATTCACATGTAATGAGTATGGATGAAGGAGAAGACAAAAATAATAATAAAAAAAGCGAACATCACAATGCTAAAGAATTTTTAAAAAGTTGGAAGAGAAGTGAGATTAAGAGTTGAATTAATTTTTTTATATGTTTACTCATAATTATTTTAAAAAAATACTTTTGATAATTTTTTACCGGTAGAAATAATAATGTTTCTAGTAATTTTTTACCGATTTTATTAAAAAATAATAATAAAACCGATAATATCCTTAATTAGCTTTATATTAGATTGCCGCATGTGAGGCTTCCGAAGAACTAAAATAAAGAAAAATATTTTACAAGTTCATGAAAAAGCAGAATCATTTTAACCACATTAGTATGTACCTTTTGTTTGTTTGTTTGTTTTTTTTGGTTAGCTAAATTTGTAAGCCATTAAGAGCTCATGTTTTGATCATGAGCCACCTTGGCAGTGGAAGCCACCCCAAACTCGTCGACAACACTCAAATATGCTGTAGAAGAGTGCATAACTTTACCGGCTATATTCATGCCACCCAGCTTACAGATGACGGTCGTACACGGATTGTGACCGGGCCCTTTCAACGGACCTCAGGGGAGTGATGGCACCACAAGCTTGTCTTTTGCTACCTACTTTTCCCCATCCAGTGGCCTCGTTGTTCCAAGTCGGATCCAAGCTACTAAAAAGGAGAAAACCAATAAAGTTCTGAATAGGGTACAACCTTTATGAAATTTCTTATAGGAAGTCTTTTGACATGAGGTACAAGCTAAGATTTCTAGAGGTGTTCAAATAATTGAACTAATTCGATTAATCGATCGAATCGAATTAGTTCTCGGTTAACCGAATTAATTCAGTTAATTCGATTCGATTACCGAATTAGTTCGGTCGGTTAACGATTAAGAAAATTTTTAAAATTTGATTAACCGTTAATTAACCGAATTAACCGAAATTAAATTTTAAATATTATATATAACATATAGACTCAGCCCAAACCATTTAAAACTCAATTAATAATTTAAGATCCAATAACTTTTAAACCTAAATCAATATTAATTAATTTAAAAAATTATATAAAATTTTTATTTTATAATTATATTTTATTTAAATTAATTATAAACTATTTTTTAATTAAAAAATATTATATATATTATATATAACATATAAACTAAACCCAAACCATTTAAAACCCAATTAATAATTTAAGATCCAATAACTTTTAAACTTAAATCAATATTAATTAATTAAAAAAATTATCTGACATTTTTATTTTATAATTATATATTATTTAAATTAATTATAATTTTTTTTGAATTAAAAAACATTTATTTTTATATAAATTAGAAAAATTTTATAAAAAATCGGTTAATTCGAAAATTAAACGAATTAACCGAAATTTATTCGGTTCGGTTAATATTTTCGAAAAAAAAATTCAGTTAATTCGATTTGGTTTTAACCGAATGAACAGCCCTAAAGATTTCCCATGTCGTGCATCTAATCCATGCACTTTTGGGGTACAAATTATTTAAAAAGTACTACATTACATATCATTCATAGAAACAGAGGCGCTAGTTAACCTGTTAGTCACGACTGAATCCCATTTTTCTACAAGTCGATGCACAGCATTCCCTTAGGTGTACATTATCGATACAACTATTACCTGAATGTCATTTAGATAAAGCATCCATCAGTTTCTCCTTCAATTGTTCGGCACCACCACCCGGGGCTCCAATGGTGAAGGTGTGGACAATCTTGTCATTATCTGTCATCAAAACATCGGATTCTTGTGCTGTAATGTGATTTTCCTTCAAAGCTTTTACGACTCCAGAAACCGGGTGAGCATCCAAAGGGTAGCGCATTGTCACGACTGCGTCGTCGTGCCTTTGCTGGAAATCTATATCAGGCACTGGAAACTGCTTTTGCGGATTGTTTACAGTCTCCTTTTCAGTTTCCAATACCCTAATCTTCATCTGGAGGTCGGTGATATAGGTAATAGCATCACCAAGCAGAGATGCCTTGTCCATCTTAGAGATATTAGGGACAACTGCCCGTAATGCATAGAACCGCTGGTTAAGTTTTTCCCGCCTCTGTCGCTCTGCTTCAACATGATTCAATGGTTCTTCTCTCCCATTGGCCGGCTTCCTTCCCCTCTTCCTTGGTTTCCGCTCATCAGGTAAAGACGGCGAGTCATCTTTTGGGTGATCCAAACTATAAATTCTCGCTTGTGCATTCAGACCTCCAACAAGAAACTGTGGGAACAACTTTGCATCGCCTTCGCTTTGACATCCATTAGAAGAATTACCATAATGTTGATTGGAACCTAGAGATTGAACATCATAAGATTCCAACATGAAGCCTGACTCATCTTCCGTTTTTGGAGAGAAGTTAATACTAATCGATTGAGACTTTGAACCACCCAAACTTAATTCATGTCCAAATATCTTTGGAATTGTTTTTGTCTGCACAGAACTGGATCCACCGAATACAGTACTCACCATCTCCACAATATTCTGATCTTCAGGAATCAACTTAATGGAACCGAGCTCCACCACACCAGACTTCACAGGTACAAACACCACTGTTTGCAATCCAGCAGATCTGGCTAAAAATGATCTCGATTGATAATGATTTGAACAAGAATTCACATCTGAGGTCCAAATTAATTTGCCCGACTTGTAAGATTCTCCAGGACCATACGATATATCACAATGAAATTTGAAGTACCTCGACGTGAAATAAAACATCTCCATGTCCGATACGCCATCCAACTTAGCAACACCGCTATCCTCCTCCGACCCACCAAAGCATACATGAAGCTTCTGGAGTACCTGCTTTCGCACCTCATTTATCTTCTCAACCCCTTCCGGTTTTCCATCAACACCAGCTCCACTAAGCTTAGGATCCCGGCAATGTCCATCACCCCAAATCAAGACTGATCCACCAGATTTCAAGCTCGACACTTGCCAGTAAATCCCATAGTTCCAATTAAACCTCTCAACGACGACACAAAGCTTTTGTTGCAGACCCAAATAACTGGGTGGTGGATATATGAGATCCGCCAGCACGTTCTTAGAAGCCAACAATATCAAATAATCACAGGCTTCAGTACCCAAAACAGATTCCACCTTAGTCTTATCTTCCTCATGTGCCCAAAACTTTTCACCCATTTATATATCACCGTTCAGAACTATATAAAGAAAGCCCCAATTATAACATAGTAGCTTACAGCTGTGCTATGAAACCTATAAATTCCTAAACCACAATCAACAGTGCCGTTCAACTCAAAACATATCTAGCAGCTAAATTAAAAGCTTTAACCTGCAATTCGACAAATTTCGCAACAATTTAGCGGATTGTTTTCAACATTCAATTCCCAAAAACTAGAAGGTCCTAAAAACTCATTCCAATAATCAAATAAAACAAAAAAAAAATTCTAACGAAATTTTAAGCTCTATCCATTTACCAAATCTAGAAGCAATTGCAAAAGGTCAAAGGCTTTAACGGTGAGCAAAATTAAAGCCGGTACGAAGCCCAATAAATAAAAAAGAACAAAAAAAATTTACTTGAACAGGGAAGTACTGCCTCTGAACTTGAGAAAGATTCGTCAGCTTCAGCAGAGAAGAATTAGGCTTTCAGATTTGTCCAAATGTTAGGGTTTTATTTTACTATTGTTTTCATTAATTGGGTTCTTATCTCTTAGAATTGTCGGCATATACGGGTGCCACGTCATGGGTCCCATTCCATTAAATAAAAGGAATCACTGTCACGTGACTTAGCGAGAAAAACGCCTGCTTTATTTGTTGTCAAATATGTCAATGCATTTAGTTGGGCCATGGCCCATGGTTTGAAAAGCCCGATAGACCCAACGTTTTTGCTCCTCGCCCACTTCATTCAAGTGAGATTAGTTAAATCTGCCTTATAACATAAACCATTAACAGATAAACAACTCAATTAATTGGTCATTGTGAAATTAGATAAATCATTATATTTTATTTTTATATAATAAGTTAAATCATTAAAAGTATATATCATGATTAAAATTATTATTATTTAATTAATTAAATAATCTTCAAAAAAAATAATTAGATAAATTATTTTATTAAATCATTATACTTTACTTATTTTGCATACATTTTTTAATATATTAACATGTTAAAAATATAAACTAATATTAAAAATATTTTATTTAATTAAATTAATAAAATAATAATTTTAACATAAATAATATATCACAGTATAATAATATTAGAAAATAGTATTAATGAATTTAAATATAGTTTAAATTAATATATTTTAAATTTTACAACTTACTATTTTTAAATTAATATTATTTTATAATCACTCTAAATAAATATTAGTTGTGTTCATATTCTATACTTTGGTGGTAGGTGGAACCATTAAGGAAAGAACATACACACTTCAACAGAATTGGAGAAGGAATAAAAATATATATACATATTCCATCGCTGTTGGAATAATTCTATTTTTTTTTTACTAGAAGTGGTTTTAAATTGAAAAGAAGTCATATTTGTTCACAGGCTTATTAAATGCATCGTTGTATCTTAAAATATACTATTTGTATCGCGTTGTCACTTAAAGTATTTTTCGAAATATTTTGCACATGAAATTTAAACCGTACCTTCAGTTGTTTTAATATATTAACTCCGTTAAAAAATACGTGAGTAAATTATATATTTAGTCATTCAACTATTCATGCGGTTCTATTTTAGTTAGTCAACTATTTTTGTTTTCAAAATCATCATTAAATTTAAAGTTTTGTTTTGTTTCGGTCACCCAATTCAATTAGATTTATTTTTTAAATTTATAATATATAATAATTCATTTATATCATATATTTTTTTACTCAACACATAAATTTAATGTACAATAATAAATAATATTATAACGTAAATAATAACATATTTAGTTGTTTGTACTTAAAATTTTAATAAAAAATATTAAATGTTAAATTAAACTATCATGAATATTATCATAAATATTTTAATAAATTTAAATATGAATGAGTCATTATCCATTTTAAGAATTTAAAATTTAACGGACTTACTTCCTTCAACTGCACCTTCTTCATTCAGAGGTTAGGTTCTCTCTTCATTTTTCTCTTTTTGACGTAATTTTGAGTGTTTTCGCTTGTTTTTGCCGTTAAGGAATCCGAGGCAGAAGGATTCTTCTTTTTATTCTTCAATTTTTGTTTCGTTTTGTTTTAATTTATTAAAACTCCACATGTGCTTTTCCATTGTTAATTTATCTTGCAAAAACAAAAATTAAATGAACTCCTGATTATTAGCTTCTTTTCCTTTTCTCGTCAAAGTTGATTTTCCTTTCCTACATTTTCTTAGTTACCAAACGCTGCAGCGTTCTCCCCTCCCCCCCCCCCCCCTCTTTCTTACTTTCTTCATTATACTTCTGTTAAATGTAAGATTTTTAGCTAGCGTTTTCCTTTTCTTTGTTTTAATTTTGTTCTATCCCCTGAGTCTAGTCTTTGCTTTTGCGTTCATAAAATTATTTTTCCATTTATATGAACATTTTTTTTTCTCTTCTGCTTGTCAATTGTTTAAACATTTTCCCAAGGTTGAACTTTGTGTCTGGGTTTCCATGCTGGGTTGATTTATTTATTATTATAATTTGTACGATTTTCCCCCGTTCTGCTAATTTGATGAGTTTTTATGTTCCAAGGCATTTTTAGTCTGCCCTTTTGTCTATGGAACAACTATCCTAATACTCTTAAGAGGATTTATTTCCAGGAAACATGAATCTTGAAAAACAGAGACATTTTCCAAAATTGGCATCTGAATCTGGTTCTTGCAGTTGTGATATCGCAGACGAAGAAGATCAGGTTTGCTATTTTTATTGTTTCCATTATTGTTTCATATGTTAAAATTTATCCACGTTTCTTACTCTAGATTCTCCTGTATTTTTATTTTTATATGAAATTAAAATATTTAAGAAATTAAATTAAACTATCACTAAATTTAGTAATGATTTTGAAAAACAAAATAGTTAACTGACCAAAATAGAAATGCATGAATAGTTGATTGACTAAATATGTAATTTACCTAGTGTTTTCCAACGGAATAGTTAACGTGACCAGTGGTGCAAGCAGAGAAGATGCATATGGCATGCCCTTGGCCATGGATTCTTCATTGCAGATTATATACGCTGCCACTCGCAATCCTTCTATTGATTTGGGCCGATAGCCATACGCCCTTTCACACCTCATTATTGTGAGAGGTTACATTTACGGACAGTTCTATTGAGTGCGCAAACTGCGAAGGCATCTCTATGATATTCTTAGTATCAATCCAGTGAGGGGAGAGTTCTAATGGAATCTTCAGTTTGTACAGACGGAGGCAACATATCATAAGGGGCTTTGTTGGTTCACCTTTTATTGACTCAGGCGGAGAGCCGCAAATTCATCTCGTGGTTAATTTATGTGATTTATACACTTCTTCCTCTTTGGATTCCAACGAAACACTTGCAAGTATTGTTCGTCTTTTGACTTGTATAAAAATTAAATTATTTGGTGGGATGTGTCTGAATATATGAAATTACCAAGTTAGATTTAAATTTTGTAATGATATTATTATGGATTTTATTATTAAGTTCTTGTTATAAAAACAAACGAGGCACAACAGTTGTACAAGAATGATCGAAGTCAAAAGTATTCAGCTTCTATAAGAAGGAAGAAGCATGGTGAATAGAGACAAGAGGGTTTTATCCTTTCTATAGTATCTCTTAATATTGGTACCAAGTTTCGATCGAGATGAATAGATTGAAAAACTAAGTGGCCATGGTTGTAATTGTTACAACGTAATTTACTTTCTAAAAAAAACCATTACACTTTCTAAAATTAACCATTATACTTGCAATAGTGCAACGGCAATTTATCAACGATGTCTCTAATAAAAAAGTTTTTAAATTCAACAATGTTTATAATAAAAATGCTATTAAATCTTCTAGAGATCTTAAGGTGCATAAAAGATTAGAGATGTTAACGTTGCTGCTTACATTCCTTTCATAGGTTCTAGCACACGCCTCTCTATGCAGCTCTAATAACAAATAACAAAACGTTTCTGAGACTTCAACTTGCGGGTTTGTCTTCCAAAAGCAGGGCTTTTGTCGACCCTTTTTGAAGTTAAGATAGTACAAGGTTCCGTTCTTTATATTGCTTTTACAGGTTTCGTTCCAAAAGCTTCATTTCACGGTTGAGATATGTGTCGTTTTAGGGCTAATCAGAATTTTATTTTATTAGAAACAAGATCGAGAAGAACATGTTCACACAACGGTGCTGTTCTCTTCATTAACATACTTTTGATTATTTCAATGAGATCACCAACATTAAGCTATTACATTATATATTATGTATTATGTTATGGCAATCCATATATAAGCAAAGGATCTTAGCCAATTCTAGGAGCACGTACAACCTGGCCGTTTCTATCAACCCAAACCCAGACCCTATCGCACCTGAAGTCGGTGGTGACTTGAGTTCCATCCAGCAACACTATGGCGGCCACATCGGGATTCTCATTCTCGATCGTTGTCTTCGCACTCTCTCCGTTTGTTCCGACCAACTCCGGCCACGAGTTCTTTCCTATGCATTTCAAACAAGTGCTTAGTTAAACTCAACTGAACCAGAAAAGTAAAGAAAAAGCAACCTAAATAAACTTAACCTTACCAGGAGGACACCCAGACATATTGATTTCACTTCTCGCTTGGCTGAGTTGAATGAGTTTCGACTTGTATCATGCAGGATATATGTTTGAACTTTATATAGATAAGGTTTTGAACATGAGAGTGTGAACATGTTGTGATGTCTGAGTAAATGGTGCCAGGTCCCAGCCGACATATTTGAATGCTCATAAAAAGTTTGTCACAGTCCATTTTTGTTTTGAATGCCTATCAATATTATGGTTAGCTGGGCTTGATTTGGGATCTGGCAAGTTCTTATCCATTGTCATGTTCTCTAAAAGAATTGAATTAAGGTTTCCCATTTATATCAAACTAGATCAGTAACACTCTTAACTCATATACATACTCGTATACGAGTCAAGGATGTTATATCAATCGTATAAAACATTTACTATGTGAAAATCAGTAAAATTTTGTTATTTTAAAATTTCAAAACGCATTTTTTTAAACTAATAATCACATAAAAATCATAATTTAATATTTAAATGTCAAAATTAAATACAATTTATATAGCAATTTGACAGTTATGTACTATTCAATATCATAAATTAAACTGTCAAAAACTACCTAATTTTAAAAAAAATCAATCAATTAATATTTAAAACATAATTTAATACTAAACTATTTATTTATATTTATAATAGTACTTAATATTATCTATTTTAAAATAGCTTTAGATGTTATGTTACAACCCATTATATAATTCATATATATATATATATATATATATATATTTCAGAGCAATTAAAACCTCTTTAATATACATGTCACTAACTAATAAAATAACAAAACAGAATGTCCTTACTGTTTTTGGTAACGAATCTGCACTCTCTACTTTGCTCGTTAGTTTGTACCTTCGTGTGAAACACTCACACGTTAAGTTTTCACTTAATGAGTCAACCAAGTATCATAAATGAAAATTTTAACGTATAAAACAGATTGTATT